AAGCTGATCTCACAGGGCATCTTGGAGTCCATGGATCACTCCCCTTGGGAAACCCCTGTTGTGTTGCCTCAAAAGTCCGATGGATCGCTGAGGATCTGCGCGGACTATAAAATGACTGTCAACAAGGCATTGCAGGCTCACCCCTATCCCGTGCCGGTAGTGCAACATGTGTTGCACTCCTTGGGCCAAGGCAAGCTCTTTGCCAAACTGGACCTGGCCCAAGCATACCAGCAGTTGCCCATAGATGAGGCTTCTGCAGTGGCCCAAACCATCATGACACACTATGGTGCCTTTAAGTGCTACCGGTTACAATTCAGCATCTTCCAGGGATTGATGGAGCGTTTGCTCCATGGCATCCCTGGAGTCACACCATATTTTGACGATGTCCTGATTGCTACTGCCGATCAATCAGGGCTCGTCAAAATACTGTGGGCGGTGCTGACGCGCATTAGAGCTGCTGGCCTCCACCTGAAGCGCTGTAAATGTCAATTGGGGGTCTCTTCCGTTTAGTTCTTAGGCTACCTCATCAACTCTCGAGGGATCCACCCCACTCCCACCAAAATCGATGCCATTCGTCTCCACTCCCACCCCCAACTGCAAGGCAGAGCTGCAGGCTTTCCTGGGCCTCCTTAATTTTTATTCTGCCTTCCTGCCACACAAAGTCTCCCTTGCGGAGCCTCTGCACCAGCTGCTGGATGCCTCTGCCCCTTGGGTATGTGTGTGTGTGTAAAGAAGACTCTGGGATTGTTCTTCTTCCTGTATATATTAATCTCACAGGGTCAAATGATTCTTTTAGTGTCTTACATCTTTGGAAGTAACTAAATCCTTGGCAAAGTGCTACTAAATTAGATGTTTCTCCTTCCCTGATTTTGAACTTAGGTTACACCCATGTCTGTAATAGAAAAGGCAACAGTTTCCTTATCTTTCTCATGTTATGACTGATAGACAGTTTCTTATCTGTATTCTCTCTCTTTCTCTCTTCTGCCTTCCTTAAATAATTTTGGAAATCTCAAACTAGTTAATGTAGGAGTTGTAAAATTGTTCTTATTTTATTTTATATTTTATTTTGCTTTACATTATTTTATTATTTTATTTTATATAGAATAGGTTCAAATTTGCAAAAAAATTAAATACTTATCATTCTAAATATATGCAGAAAACTAAATTAGTGCAATTAGTTTTGGGTGGAACTAGAGTAATTTGTTTTATTGTTAAAAAAAGTGCATGTGACATGTTTGGGGAGGTTTTAATTAAAAAAACTTTTTTTCCAGATACAGTTCCATTTACTGGGAGATAAATCAAATTTTATGCAGATAGCTTGAGGAAGTTTGTGAAAAGGGATTTAATACAAGTGCACAGTTTCTAATCTCAGTTGCCTATGATTATCATCAATCAAATTAACATTAATTTTAACAAAGGACAATGGAGTGAAAGCAATTTATTTGAAGCAGCGATATTTATTCTGGGCTTGTCCCACTTTCTTCTTTACTTGACCAATATATGACCCCAAGCATATTAATGAATACCCTCACTTTCATGTACTTTACAAATTATGTATCTTCTTAAGCAAGATATCTATAATTGAAGAAATTCTCCTTCAATAGTAAGTCACTGCAGTACATTAGATAGGAAGAAGCAGCAAATGGAAAAGGCAAGAAAAGATGAAAGAGGAGTTACAATAGGCCATCATTTCCTGTTGAGAAAATGCTGATACAAGACAAGTATAGAACGATTGAAATAATGTCTGTGGTAGCGTTTCTTTCCTTCTCCTGTTTTCTATTCTTGAAACAATACAGTTGCAAATATTGTCTACATCAAATCATTCCCAAAGATTCATAGCTGAATTCATGTTGTTTGGTAGGAAAGTGAAGGTGACCAACATATCAATAAAATAATCATCTGGCATAGACAAAAATACCATTGTTTGATGTAGGACATGATAATCATTGATCTGCTATGGTCAGACAAAAAAGGATCGCACCTCTGGCTGAAGTAATCGTGTCATACACACCCAATCCAATCCAATCGAATCCAGTGTCTTCTTTTTTTGTAATGCAGAGAACTACATCATTTCACTTTGTCTTTTTGAACTCTCGTATTTCAGCATTTTGAGTTAATGCTAACATCCCCACCATCACATTCTGCTTCGGTGCTGAATTTAATTTAGGAGTTTCTAAGAAGGATTTTAAATTTATTCTGATGGACTTAATTCATTAATTGCCTAGAGACAAGCCTATTAGCTTAGCTGTCCAAAAGGTCAACAAATGACAAATGCTGTTTTATGTGTTTTGAAAATAGTTTTCTAATTGGTACAGAGACACATAATTTGAAGAAATCCTTTCTAATATAAAAGATGTATAATTAGGAGGCAAAACATCAAGACCAGGCTTAATGAATGTTTCCTTATGTGCCATGATTATCTAAATTATTTTGACGTTGCAATTTTTTCCTTCATGTTTTCCAACAAACTCTCTAAAATTCCTAGTATTTCTCTCTTTTAGAAAATACAACAATTGCATATAGTAGAAACCATAAATTCATATTATTATCAGTTCTGCTGAAATAAGTTACCATCATTGATTTTTTTTCCCCTTTATAATTGAAAGGAGGATAGATGGATACTTGCAATTAATCAGAATTTATTGAATACTACTGCCTAAAACCAATCAAGGAGTTCATCCAGATGAATGAATACAAAGAGATTTAGACTGTCAGACTAAAATTTATAGTGGAAGTGTTGTGTTCCAAATTTCAGGTATTCAAATATATTAATTATCTCCCATTCATGTGTTATGGACAATATCTAAATATTGTATGTAGAATTATTTATTGTTTTATCCAGCCTTTACCTTAAAAAATGAAGTTATGCATTAATTTTGGAATGGGAAAAATAAATATAAATAGTGAATATACCTGAGTGCTCAGGCAGGGTCCCATTATTCCCACAAATAATTTCTCTCCAAATGTATTACTGTATAATTCTTATAGCAGTATCTCTAATCAGCATGGCCAGTAATTGGACTCAAGCACATTTGAAGGGGTGAAGTGTTGGAAAGATTATACTGAAATGCATGTCTTAATATTTGACAAACTGGCCTACTTGCTGGGAACTCCTTTAAACATCCTCAACAAGCTGTTTGATTTCTTGTTTACTCATTCTGAATAGAAAATATCTTCTGGGTTTGATAATGCCCTCCAACCACTGCTCCCACTTCCAGTTTCCTCAGTGTTTCATCCAAAGAGCAAAATCCTCTTCCAAAATGGCCATGAACCACAGCATAAAACCATATGAGAGAATAAATTAAATAAATTGAAACTTATCTCAAACAAACAACAAAACAAAAAAATAGCCTCAATTAAGAAGCTACAGCTTTACTCACTGCTGATACCTTTTATTATTTTCATGCCAAACTCTTGCACAGGTTGGAAAGTGCTGGTATTTTCAAATATTTATCCACTCTGTTTTTGTTTTGTTTTGTTTTAATCTCCAGCACCTAGCAATTCCTCCCCCAAAATACCATGAGCCCCCAGCCTCCCCATTACTATGGCAGCCAATAGCAAGCAGGCAAAGTAGAGGCTGACATTTGGCCCTCCTGCAGAAAGGACATCATCCCTGGAGAAAAAGATAAAACAAACAACAACAATAATAACAGAGCATATATACATCACAATTAGCATTTATCAGGGTACCTAGAATGGATACTTTTGCAAGAGTTGGGAGCTTTCTGGTAATTCAACAATAAAATCCATCAGTATCTCCTTCCATGGTGCACCAGGTCAGGTGACACTTTGAAGTAGTCCTTGAGGTTTACCTGGTGGTCTCTTTGCTGCAGCACAAATAGGACAACTAGCAATGTAGGATTCTATGTCTTTTTTCAGAGAAGGCCACCAAGACAGTCTCTTAACCAAATGTAATGCATTCATGAACCCCAAATGTCCAACCATTTTTGAGTCATGGGCCTGTTGGAGGACAATGCTTTTTAGACTAGCAGGTACATAGAGCTTGGCTCCTCATCATCATTCATGGTGCACTCATTGGAGTGTAACTTGAACCATTCATCAGATGCAAGGCCTCTTTGTCAAATCTGTGGGCACCTCCAAATCCATTTTCCCCTGGCTCCTGGTGACCAACGGATCTGCTAGGTGTTTGGCAGGAATGACTGGATAAATCACCACCAACCTGGCACTGTTGTACTGGGGTAACCTGGACAAGGCATCATCTATAAAGTTATTTCCCCTAGGGAGGTATCTCAGTGTAAAGTTAAACTGGTTAAAATGCTGTGCCCAGCGAAATTGTTTGGGCAGCAATTTCCAAAGTGTTTTTAATGCTTCAAGGTTTTTATTATCAGTCCATACCTCAAATGGGTACTTAGCCCCCTCGAGGAAATGCTGCCAATATAGTAGGGCCCACTGGTCTACAAAAGCTTATTTCTCCCAAATTGCCCATCTTCTTTCTGTCTGTTAATTTTTGGGAGGTGTAGGTGCAGGGTTGCAGGTTACCATCTGCATTCATTTGAAGTAACACTGCCCCCACTGCTACATCACTTGCATCTGCTTGGACCACAAATGGTGCAACCATGTCGGGGTGTTTTAAAACAGGTTCAGCTGCAGACAGCCATTTCAATTTTTCAAAGGCTGCTTGACATTTCATAGTCCACTTCAAAGGCTGACTAGGCCTTGGTTTTGCTTCTCCCTTTGACTTTAGAAGATTCATAATTGGCAGTGCAGTAGTAGTGAATGAGGGAATAAATTGGTAGTAAAACTTGGCAAATCCCCAAAAACTTGGTAGCTGCTTGCGGGTGTGGGGAGCCGCCCATTCTGTAACAGCCTGGACTTCTCCAGATCCATTTCAATACCCTCATGAGAAATGCGGTACCCCAAATAGTCAATTTTCTCCTGGTGGAATTTGCACTTAGACAATTTGGCCTAAAGTTCAGCAGCTCAGAGTTTTTTCAGAACTGAGTTTTACATGTTCCTCTAGTGTTTCTGTGTAGACGAGGATGTCAGCAAGGTAAACTAACACCCCCTTATACAGGTGTTCATGCAGCACCTCATTAATCAACTGCATAAAAATGGCTGGTGCCCCCTGCAGTCTGAATTGGAGTACTCTAAACTGGAAACACCCCACAGGGCAGTTGAAAGCAGTGTTCCATTTATCTCCTGCTTTTATTCGGACTCTGTAGTAGGTCTCCCTTAAATCTAATTTAATGAAAAAAATTCCCTTTGCCAGGTGAGCTAACATGTCCTTCATAAGGGGTAATAGGGACACGTTTTCCACGCAAATGGCGTTCAAGTTTTTGTAGTTCACACATAAGCGAAGAGAGCTATCTTTTCTTGAAATAAGACAGGCACAGCCACACGTGGCCTAGCAGGCTGGATGAAACCCTCTTTAAGTTTTTATCAATGAAGTTGCATAATTCCTGTAGTTTGCATGGGGTCATCAAGTAAATCTGTGGTTTAGGGAGTTTCTCCACTGGGATGATTTTTATGCTTCAATCGGTAGCGTGATTATCAGAAGTCCTTTTGCTGAAAGCCTCTTTGAGGTCCCAGTATTCTTTCAGAATTTTTTCCTCCCTCTCAATTTTTTCATGCGAAAATGCTGCCAGCTGAATGGATGCATAACCAGCCCTTCCACCAGTTCATCTGAGGGTTCCATATCCGTAGCCAAGGTAATTCCAGTATGAGGGGCCATTCCATCCCTGGCATCACGATGAAACTCAAGGATTCCTGATGGTCCCCCATCCACATCTCTACCAGTTCAGTTACAAAATGCCCCCCCCCCAGCAACTGACCCATCCAACTGGCAAAAGGTGATGGGGACTTTCATAGTTCTCAGTCTTAACCCATTTTTCCACCACTTCTGGGCTAATTACACATCTGGTGCATCCAGAATCGAAAAGGGACAGCATCTTCCCCTGGGCACCAGTCAAGGGTACTTTTAGTTCTACTGGGATGGTCATGGGGCATGCATGAGATCATACACGGGGTCGTCATCAGAGTCAGTTTCACTTTCTCCTGAAGAAAGGCGGGGTTCTGCCTGGAGGAAGGAAATCAGCGACTTCCATGCCTTTCAGGGCTGTTTTGCGGCATTTCCCTAGGTGCTTGTCAGGTTTCTTCTTTCCAGCCGAAGATTGTTTTGGGCCCAACTTAGAGTAGCAGTTGATACCCCTCCTTTCCATATCAGAAACACACCATTGTTCTGGGCTTGGTTGCTGCCCCTCCTTTTCCTGCTCTTGGTGCCTCTTTCAGGTTGGGTGGGTTTGTTCCAGCTGCTGCCTCCATGGTATTGATTTCTGGCTAGGTCAATTTCTACATAAGCAGCCAGCACATACCAACGTTGCAGGTCGCAGGGGGCTCCCCTGTTCACACAGCTCTGGTACACATCATTGTTAATGCCATCCATGTAGCTATCCATGAATGCCTCCTGGAACCATCCCTGCATGTACACAGACAGCTTGTGAAACTCCTGAGTATATCTGCCACAGACCTCCGTCCCTGGGTTGAAGTTTTCATCCTGGTTCTTGCCTTCCGATTTGCGAGGGGATCATCAAAGTGTGCCCTCAGGGCCATCATAAACACGTCCTAATCTCTCAGCTGGGGGGAATCATCATTATGTAGAGCCACCATCCAGTCAGCTGCTTTGCCTTCCAATGCCATAGTAACACTTCTCACTTTGGCAACCTCTGATGGGAAATCCTCTTCATACACTTTCATGTAATTCCAAACTTGAACCAAAAAGAATCCCAGTGCTTTGGGATCTCCCCTATGCTTCACTCCAGGAAGAGGAATCTTGGGAATTCAAAGCCTTCATGGGGCTACCCCCCACCTTGAGGGAGCTTGAACTGCTGCTGCTGCTACGGCATCTGGAACTCCTCCGGCTTGCCTGGTTCCTGGAGCAGCTCCCAGGGCCATTTCGGGGTTAGCCACGGCATCTGTTCCTCCCTCTGCCTGCTCAGCTGTTCCAATCTCTCTGTTGGTGTGACTTTCACGCATACGATGATTCCCCCAGGCCTCTTGTTAAAGGTGTAAAGCCTGGGTCATCATGAGATCCTCTTTTTTGGCTTCCTGCCAGGCAGCCTCTGGTCGTTGGTGCTGGGTGGTTGTAACTCCCACCAGCATCTCCTCAGGATCATTGATCTGTCCCACTCCCAGCAACCATCTGGGTTGGACCAATTTTTCTTCCAGACTCAGTTCAGCCATCCATTCTGTTTCCAAGGGAGGGGAGGATCCATCAGCCCCCATGTCCTCCTGGTTGCTGCAGGGGTTAGACATGTTGATGCCCCCCCCCCCCATGGTAGCTTTTAACTCTGGGATGGGTGCGAAGTGAGATCTTGCTTAATGTCAGGTATGCCTCATTCAGTATCCAAGAAAGAAAACCCCCAACTCCAATTGAATAGAGATAAAGATAGTTTTACTGGACATGAAATGAAAACAAAAAAAGTAAAGCAAAGATCTGAAGCAAAATCCCCGCAAACATGTACATATCAAACGTTTACCCAGTACCCTCCCCCCAGTTACCCAGTTACCCCAATGTCCAATCTGCAACTCCCAGAAGTGTCATGTGAAGTGTCATCTTCAAGTGGCCTCATTCAGCTGGTATGCAGAGATGGTTGACCTTGACGAAGCCCAAACACGAGCCATCAGCATGCACAGAAGATGGTGAGAACAAAACTCCCCTCATGATAACTCCTCCAGCACCTAGAATTTCCCCCCAAATACCATGAGCCCCCACCCTCACTGTTACTATAGCAGCCAATAATAAGCAAGCAAAGTAGAGGCTGACACTAGCTCTATGAAGACAATGAAGAGAGCAGCTGAGAAAGTATGAGGTTAAGGAGAAATAAGATACATAATCTCCTTTGGGAACTGTGTAAAAGCTGATACATCTGAAAAATGTGTTCTTGTGCAACTACATGCCATTGACCAGTGCAGGAAAAGATTAATCTCCAAGATTCAGACAAAGATGATTTTTTGATTCTCTCATGAACTGTCAATTCAGTGGGTGGTGACCTCAAGTTTTTCCGATAAAGGAAAAATGTACAGAAGTTCTAAAGTCATAATATTTGCAATTGTCAGATCCACCACCTTGTTGGCATTCTGTCAGCACCTCTCCATTTAGTAATTAGGAAAGAAGACCATGAGACTCCATTTGTAGAAATCAAATGTACTTTTACTAATTAAAAATGGCTAAAGAGCGGTTGCATAGCAAAGTCTGGTTAATTAGGCGCGAAAGCAGTTGATATATAGAATAGCCCATTCCACCCCCCCTGGCATCATAGGCCTAGTCCAATCAAGTGTCAGGTGTGAGATAACTTCAAAAGACATCACGAAGATGGAATGTCGGAGCCGTTAACCCAGGCGGGAAACATCCACACATGCGTTATGTCCATCCAAAGATCTCCAGANTAGATAGATAGATAGATAGATGATAGCAATTAATAGCAATTAGACTTATATACCGCTTCATAGGGCTTTCAGCCCTCTCTAAGCGGTTTACAGAGTCAGCACATCGCCCCCAACAACAATCCTGGTCCTCATTTTACCCACCTCGGAAGGATGGAAGGCTGAGTCAACCCTGAGCCGGTGAGATTTGAACTGCTGAACTGCAGAACTGCAGTCAGCGGAAGTAGCCTGCAGTGCTGCATTTAACCACTGCGCCACCTCGGCTGAATGATGAGGCTTATCCATCGTTTGTGGTTTCTTCTTTCCAGAAAGTGGTGACGGCCTTGGATCGAACATGGCACCCGGAGCACTTCTTCTGCGCACAGTGCGGAGCGTTCTTTGGCCCTGAAGGTATGGACTCTGTGTCAGGTGTGCCTTCTTCAGTCGCCAAGACAGAAAACTCCCAACTCCCATTTTTGTAGAGATAAAGATACTTTTTACTGGTTATGAAAAGAAAGCAGCGGAAGGAAAGCGAGATCTGAAACAAAAAGGAGCAAACATGCACATATCAAACATTGGCCCAGAACCTTCCCCCCAATTATCTCAACCCAATGACCAATCTGCAACTCCCTAAGGTGTCACGTGGGGTGCATCTTCAAAAAGCCTCATCCAGTTGGTATGCAGAGTCAGTCGGTTGACCTTGATCAAGTCCAAACACCGGCCATCAGCATGCGCACAAGATGGTCAGAACTAATTTGTAATTTGTAATTTAATAAATTTATATGCTGCCCAAACCCGCAGGACCCCGGGTGGCTTACAAACACAAGAGTAAAATAAAATAAAGGGGAAAAACAAAAACGGATTTAAAACAATACACCCTGCACTCAAGCCTAGATGGGGGCTGGACCTCATTCAAGGGTCAACAGCCCCAGGCCTCGGAAGGCCGAGAGGGTGGGGAGGGTCCGGATCTCTGCGGGCAGATCGTTCCACAGGGCTGGAGCAGCTACAGAGATGGCCCTGCCCCAAGGGGCCGCCAGCCGGCATTGTCCAGTTGACGGCACCCGGAGGAGGCCCAGCCTGTAAGATCTTATCGGCTGTTGGGAGGTATGTGGCAGGAGGCGGTCTCGCAGATAACCAGGTCCTAGGCCATGTAGGGCTTTAAAGGTGATAACCAGCACCTTGAAGCACGTTTGGAGACCGATAGGAAGCCAGTGCAGCTTGCGGAGGATAGGTGTAACGTGGGTGTATCTAGGTACACCCGATATCGCTCGTGTGGCTGCATTCGGTTCCACCACAAATGCGTGAATGACAAAAGCGCGCCTGACTAAACCACGGTGACAAAACCGCGAAGACAAAACCGCGCGCCGAAGGAGCGACGAAGGAGCCCTGAAGCGCGCCGACAACAGTGCGCCGACAGAAACGCGCTGTAACCTAACCCTAAACCTAACCCTAAACCTAACCCTAAACCTAAACCTAACCCTAAACCTCACCTTAACTTAAATCGCGCTTCTGTCGGCGCGCTGTTGTCGGCACGCTGTTGTCAACGCGCTTTTGACATCGTGGTTTTAGCACCGCGGTTTTGTCGGCGCGCTTATGACATTCGCGCTTTTGTTGGGTCACGGCTGCATTCTGGACCAACTGTAGTCTCTGAACACTCTTCAGGGGCAGCCCCATGTAGAGTGCATTGCAGTAGTCAAGGCTTGAGGTGAACTAAACTCCCTCTAGACACACACCATAAATTCCTCAACTCAAATACCTCAAGCCCCCTCCCTGTTTCTATGGCAGCCAATAGCAAGCAAGCAAAGTAGAGGCTGACACTCTGGCTGTATCTTAACAGAACACCCCCCCGCCCCTGGTCAAGGGGTGTTATGGATGCCTTAACCCCACAGTATTTGTTTCCAGAAAGTAAGTCATCGGTGTACCAAGTTTGATTGAAGTTGCTCCAGGCGTTCCAGAGTTATGCTGGGACACACAGACAGAGACACCCCCAGACATACAATGTATTTCTTTGTTCTTTAGATTGATTGATCCTGTTTCTGTTGCATTTGGTTCCTAGGTTTCCATGAGAAGGACGGCAAAGCCTATTGTCGCAAAGATTACTTCGATATGTTCGCCCCCAAATGTGGCGGCTGCGCCCGGGCCATTTTGGAGAACTATATCTCGGCCTTGAACACCCTCTGGCACCCTGAGTGCTTCGTTTGCCGGGTAAGCCACTCCCCGCGATGCTTTCCTTTTTCCATTCTAACATTTCCAACATTTTGGAAGTAAACGATTTCTCCCGTTTAACAACGGAGGCTAAAGTAATCCAGGTGTAGTCCCCGACTTACCATCATTAATTTAGTCACCGTTCAAAGTTGCAGCGGCGACGAAAAAGGGGACTTATGACCGTTTCCCACACTTACGACCATTGTAGCAACCACCCATGATCATGTGATCAAAATTCAGGCTCCTTTGGCAACTGGCTCATATTTATGACGGTTGCAATGTCCCGGGGTTACGCGATCCCCTTTTGCAACCTTCTGCCCATGGGGAAGGCTGATTTGCTAGTCCACCATGTGAGTAGCTTAACTACCTCAGTGATTCATTTAACCACTGTGAAATGGAAGGTTGTTAAAATGGGGCAAATCCCACTTCAGAGCTGTCTCGCTTAGCAAACGCAAATTTTGGCCTCCATTGCGATCGTAATTCAAAGACTCCCATGCATAATCAAATATTTTTTGGACGCAAATCTGGGGGATAAAACCCAGAGTTATTTTCAGAAACATTTACCGTATTTTTCGGAGTATAAGACGTACCTCCCCCCTCTAAAAGAGGGTGAAAATTTGGGTGCGTCGTATACTCTGAATGTAGCCCCACCCACCCACCAGCCCGCACCCTTTGGCCTCTGCCTCCCTGCAATTTACCTCCTTGCAGCAAAGGGGGAAAATGCGGCTTGCGGAGGCTTCAATAGGCTATAGCAATCCCTGCAGCCTGAAACAGCTGATGATCGGGAGAAATTGAAAGTGAAACTTGCTGTTTGCTCCACATGGCAAATTGCTGGGAGGCAGATTTTTTTTTCTTGTGCTAATCAGGCTGTTTTCTGCAAGGAGGCAAGTCAACAACTATAAATGCCTATAGAATGTTCAAATTGTTAGACTTATTTTTTAAAGACTGCTTTATTATTATTCTAGACATCTTAACAGAATGAAGCTTTTTAAAATAAATGCTTCATCTGAAGAGGCCCAGTGCTATTGTTTTAAAAAGTGCTTGTCAGCACCTCTCCATTTAATAATTAGGAAAGAAAAACCATGAGACTCCATATGTGGAAAATCAAATGTACTTTTACTAATTAAAAATGATTAAAGAGCGGTTGCATAGCGAAGTCTGATTAATTAGGCGCGAAAGCAGTTGATATATAGAATAGCCCATTCCACACCCCCTGGCATCATAGGCCTAGTCCAATCATAAGTCCTTCAAGTGTCAGGTGTGAGATAACTTCAAAAGGCATCACGAAGATGGAATGTCGGTGCCGTTAATCCAGGCGGGAAACACCCACGCATGTGTAATCTGACCATCCAGAGAACTCCAGAACATTCCTCCAGCACATCGAGTAACCCCACCCAAATACCATGCCCTCCCTCCCCGTTTCATGGCAGCTGAAGCAACAGCAAAGCAGAAGCTGACAGTGCTATTCATTTAAACAGCAGAGAATAACTATACTTCCAGAAAGCACATCAATTTTAACAGCATCTGTACAAGTATAGTCTGAAATATAACACTACAAACGGTGTATATTGTCTGTACTGTTTGCTGCAAAGAGGCAAATTGCTGGGAGGCAGAGACAGATATTTTCCCCTTGTTTTCCTCCCCAAAACCTAGGTGAGTCTTATACTTTAGAGCATCTTATATTCCGAAAAATACGGTAATCCCTCTGGTGGAATACTATGTTTCTTCCATTGTAAAAGTAATCCTTGCCGCCGTTATTATGTGTAACCTCAAGTACTTTTGACTTTCTATTGTCTTTCGCCTCAATTATTCCCCAGGAGAAACAATCCTGGTTCGAATTCTGTTTGACGTTTGGTTAATTCCTTTTCAGGAATGCTTTACCCCGTTCATCAACGGCAGCTTCTTCGAACACGACGGGCAGCCCTACTGCGAAGTGCATTACCACGAGCACCGCGGCTCGCTCTGCTCCGGCTGCCAGAAGCCCATCACGGGCCGCTGCATCACCGCCATGGCGAAGAAATTCCACCCGGAACATTTCGTCTGTGCCTTCTGTCTCAAGCAACTCAACAAGGGAACCTTCAAAGAGCAGAACGACAAGCCTTATTGTCAGAACTGCTTCCTGAAACTCTTCTGTTGAGGTTCACCTCGCCACCATCCATGGTGTCTTCTTCTCCTGCCAGGAAACCCTCGCCTTGTTTTTTTGTTTTGCTGTCGGGTCGTCCCCCGTCCAGCAACTTCAGCGGGTTGATGTAGGAGAGGAGGAGGAAGAGGAAGTGTGTGTGTGTGTGTGTGTGTGTGAATGAGATGCTCGCAGATGCTCTAGGAAGGTGGAGGATCATCCAGAGAAAAGAGGCAACGGGATTATGGGGGTTGGATCTTCTCCAACTTCTCCTCCGTTGGAGAACATGGGGACCACACCTCCCGGAATTCTGAGCCAGCTTTGCTTTTTTGGGGAGCTGTTGGGATGCTAAGATGCCAAGGTTTGGAAGATGTCCAAGAAGTCCAAAAGAGATATTTGAGTAGGAAGATGGGACGTCATGACGTCTGAGAGACACAAAGGACGTTGGGGTGGCTATGGTGGACATGGGGTTAAGGAGATAAACAGGGAATAAGAGTTGCCTCCAAGGAAGGTAGAGAGCTGGACTCTCCAATTTTGGCAATGTTTAAGACTTCTGGGCTTTCACCTTCCCCAGAATTCTCCAGCCAACCACGGGGAATTCTGGGAGTTGAAGTCCACACATCTTAAAAAGTTGCCAAGTTTGGAGACCCACTGAGAGAGGATGAAAACATCTGGTGTGGAGTTTGGAGACCCACCAGGGCAAAATGGTTGTAAAAATCGGCTGTCTTGCTGGAGCGATGAAAATTCTGGTGTTCATTCCCGTCGTAAGTCGAGGTCTGGTTATATTTTGTGGCCGCGCCCGAGAGAAGGGAGAAGTGTTAAAAACCACGAATTTTGACTATATATATATATATTTTTATTCTCCTCCAGCTCATCTCTCGTGCCTGTGTAAGACTCTTCCCCAGAGATGACCTTCTGAGCAATAATTCAAAAACTTTTTACACCCGACGTAACAATTTCGTAAAACCTTTGCTATTCTGCTCAAGCCGTCCCGTCCCCCCCCCCCGCTTCCCGGGGTGTTTTGATTGTGAGAAAAACACAACCTTTTTTTTTTTTTTTGCTAATTCAGCCGAATGCTGTGTGTTTGGGTGAAGAATGTGGCGTGATTTTTTTTTTTAACACTGGGTCTTGACTGCATAACAAAAAAAATTTAAGCTTTTAAATCTCTTATATGGAAATTTTAGTTTTATGAACAATTTTTCGACGGATGCTTTATATAAGTATCTGGTATTTTTTCTCGGGCAGGGCCCTAAGCTTTGATGGTTCCTGTCTTTACGAGCCTTGATGCTTTCTTAAAAAAACCAACTATTAATTATATATAAATATATATATATATATATAAAAAATCTTTTTTAAACTGGGGGGGTCGGAGAAGTGGAATCTATTAGGAGCGTGTGTATATTTTCTTTCTTTCTTTCTTTCTTTCTTTCTTTCTTTCTTTCTTTCTTTCTTTCTTTCTTTCTTTCTTTCTTTCTTTCTTCTCTTTTCGCTTATTAAGTAGTTTTGTACGGATCAACTGGAATGGAAGTTGGCCTCACGATGGCGGAAATGTCTTCCCACAGCGCTGGCCTTGAAACAGGGATGAGCAGCACCCCCTAGAGTCAGCGGCGATTAGTGGAATAAAATCTGTAGGGATTCCATTACCTTTCCTTTCCATTTTCCCCCCTCTCCTTTTGTTTCCAAAGCCTGAATTTGGGCTGAAGGCTCTTTCAAAAATCCCGCCTGTTTTATCTCGCTTTCAACCTGAGAAGGCCCATCAAACGGTTTGATGTGTTAGGACAAAAAAAATAAACAAACAAATGTGCCTTTCCCCTCATTTTCTGTGTTTTTTTAAAATTAAAATTCTTTTGAGGTGGGCTATTCTACGTTACTGTAACTTGGGCAATATAGGCAGTTTTTTAAAAAAAATTAATATTTTTCCTGTGCTTTACTCCCTTAAAAAAAAAAACACGACATAACCATTTAAGTGCCTCAAAATGAAGTGGCTCTTGATGAAAACTTCAGCTGTTCTGCTCAGGAAGAGAAGGGGTGGTTTTCCTGTGGAATTATATCTCTCTCCCCCCACCCCCCCCTCTCCATTTTCTGTATTCCTTTTTTGCAATGTGTTGTTCCCCCTTCTTAAAAGTCCCTGTGATGATGCTAAATAAAAGATTTGGAGACAAGCTTGGGGTGTCGTTTGTGGCTTTGAACAGCAGTCCCCCCAACTGGTGGTCCGTAGACCACTGGGGGTTCGCGAGAAAATTTGCGTGGTCCGCGGAATTTTTTTTTTAATTAAATGTGTTTTTATTTTCCATTTCATTTTCGTACAGTCACATATATACTGTGCATAACCGGGG